GGCACTAGACCAGCCCTCGTCCCCCTGCTCCTCTCCCAGCTCTCATCGTCCCCCAGGCAGCACTGAAGGAACAGCCAGCTGGGGATCTCAGCCTGCAGGTCCTGCCCTGGCCATGGATTTGCCCTTTATGGATCCTGGGCTAACAGTTCCTGCCTTTTCCAAGCACTGGGAATGGCACCAGTCACCTCCCAGGAGTGGGAAGGGGACAGAGCCCAGCGAGCCCAGGCCGAGGGGGCTGGCAGTTTTAAAGAGAAGCAAAAAGTCTCATTTTTGTGCCAGTCTGGAAATTAAATGGAGGGGAAAAAAACTCCCCAAACCGCTCCTCTATATAAAATCCATGTATATAAATGTATATAAATATATCTCTCCCCCAAGGCGCGAGGTCCCGCTGAGTAAGTGGATGTGAATGACGTGTAACCCAACACTTGCCCAGACACCCTAATGAATTTTCCATGTTTTCCATCATTTAGCTTCTAAATAGGCAGCATTCACAAAAACACCCACCCCAGCCCCACAAACCCCCCATCCTTTCCAGCAGGAAGGCCCTGCAGGAGGATTAACCCCCCGTGGATGCCCACGGAGATGATGCCAGAGTGGGAACCTCGCTCTGCTCCAGCTGGGTGCCCACAGGGTGATTTTTTTGCAGGTGCAGGGGGTCCCTGGGGGTGCTGGATGGGTGCTCTGCACCTCTCAGGGCCATATGGTTCTATTTCAGATGAACAGGATTTCATTCCTATTTCAGAGGAACAGAATTGGGCCTTAATGATGCTGATTGCTCGTTTGGGCACGGTTCGTTAAGGGCTTGATGTGGGCAAGGCAAGAGCCAGGATCCTTCCCCTACATCCTGTGTAGTCTCAGAATTTGTGCAAGTTAAAAGATTATTTACCAAGGCAGTTTGGACACAACAGAGTCATTAAAACAGAGGCTGGGCTTTGGAGTTTGGGCTGGAATGAGAATAAAACAAGCGTTTTGCTGAGACTTTTGTTAGCTCTGATCTCAAAGGAAATAGTCTTCATTTTTCCTAGGAGATTTTTTAGCCCAAACTCCATGCAATTTAATATCTGAATGCTCAAAAAATAGTTTTCCAAGCTCCAGCTATTTTTCTTCCCCTTTCTGTTTTCTGTTGCAAAAGAAAATCCAAACATTCCTGCTCTGACTACCCCATGCTGTTGCTTCCAGCTCTGTTTTTCAGCTTCCCCCTGGAACAGAGGGAGCCCTCAGGTATTTGGGACCCTTTACGAGAGGCTGATCTATCCCACAACCCCACACTACCATGCTGGGGTCCAGCTGTCCCATTTAAATGAATTTAATTTAATTTTTAATTTAATTTAAATTTATTAAATTGGGGCAAAATCAGTGTGGAAGCATGTTGCAGCAGCAGCACGTTGGATGCCGTGCAGGGTAGGTGGCTCAGGTAAAAATATCCCCAATATGAAAGCATCAGCCTTATAAAAATACCACCCATAGAATAACACAAATAATAATAATACCCATATAAAAATAATGCCAGTATAAAAATCACAGCCCTCTGGCCCTCAGGTGCTGGGCACATTTAACACCATCAGCTCTCCGGGCCTCCCATCAGGATTTTAGGTGCTGTTGTCCTTGACACCTCATCCCCTCCAGGGGCATCAGCATCAAACCCACTTGAACGCCATGGATTCCATGGATGATCCATGCATGGATCACCCTTTCTATTTGTCCTTTCTCCCTCCTCCCTTTCCTTCTCCTTCTCTCTTCCCACTGCAGCTCTGACCGAGGCTGCAAGCAAAGCACGGATCCCTTTGGAACAGAAAGTTCCTGTAAATGACAGCTACACCTCGGGGTGTTTCCTCTCCCAGTAGCTGTGAAGAAAAGGCAGCTAACTCTCGGGTTTTCCTTGGAACATATTCCTGCTGGCCAGGGCTGTGGAGCTGGGTACGAGCATTTATTGTGGTTTGGTTTGGTCTTTTCCTAATTTTTTTTTTAATTTTTTTTTCCTCTTTCCAGGCTAACGTCGCTGTGGGCTCTGCTCACGGAGATGCTGCAGAGGGGAGGCAGAGCTTTGGGAATGGCCCCGGCGCTCCTGCCCCGGGCTCATGAATAATCCTGGCGCTGAGTTCTCCTCGGGAGCCCCGGCCCGCAGCGCCTTGGCATCGGATCCTGTTGTGGGCTGGGATCTTTTCATTTTTGCCTTTCAGCTGTCATTTGGGTTCTGGAGGCGAGCGCTGAGTGCTGAGGGGTCTGGGCTCGCACCGCCCGGGAATTTGGGTCCTGCTGGATTTGTGCGGGGGTTTTGCGGCTCGGGACGGCGCTGACAGGAGGAGGGCAGGGAGGCGATGCTGGGTGGGCACGGGCAGTGCTCCAGGACCCTCTGGAGATCTTTAAATGGGTTTTCAGCGAGCTCAGGTCCTCCCACCCCGTCCCATCCCATCCCATCCCATCCCATCCCATCCCATCCCATCCCATCCCATCCCTGCCCTTCCCTGGACACCCCTGTGGTGCCAGACTGTGGCCAGGAGCATCCCCAGAGCTGGTAGTGGGGTGCTCTGAATGAGCCGAAAATCAGAGCCCGGAGAAAGAGCAGCGTGAGGAGCGCCCCTGTCCCGGGCAGAAGTGACAGGCGGGAGGCAGGGGGCCATTGTAACCATTTGTTTATTGATCCACATGGCATTGACAGGATTACACGGCGGCCCGAGGCCACGGCCACGGCCCGCGGAGCAGAAATGACCCCATACCAGAAAAGCAGAACTGTCCCCCAGCCGGGGCTCTGTCCCCACGCCAGCCCCGCCGAGCCCTGCTCCAGAGCCAGGAGACTCCTCCAGCCGCAGCTTCCCCGATGACTTCTCCAGGAGCAGACCCTCCTCTTCCTCTTCCTCTGCCCTCCCCACCTCCCCCCTCCCCAGTGACAAGTGCTACAGGTTAAAAATTGGGCTACATATTAAATATAGGGCATTACCTTCAAGTAGGGCTGGGGTATTACACAAATAACCACATTTTTTTTGGTATCACTAGCATTTTTTTTAATGTCCATCATAAGACACCATTAAAAAACCCAAAAACTTTAGCCTTCTTTATCTACAAAGATCTCTGATCTCATCTCCTTAGTCTGGTGATCTTTTACCCTGCACATACAAGTATTAGAAGCATTATTAAGAATCGTATCCTTCAACACATTTAAGAATTATATTATTATAACAAATAAGACCAAAAATTAGATTTTATAGTTAAATATTCTGTGAGCCAGATAAAGGGGCTTTACTGTACAAGCGATTGTGCATTTTTTTTTTTTAAAAAAAGCAAATTATAGTGCAAAGCAAAAAACATTGGCCTGTCTCGTGACCATTTGCATACAACAGAGGTGCATCTATTTACACCTTCACATGACAATATGTCATAAAAACAACATCGTTGCCATTCTTTTTATTATTTTCTCTTTTAAAACTCACTACAATCAGTCTTAAATTAACCTACAACTACGAATGCCTTGTTTCCTTTGTGCTTTCAACCAGTGGGACAGGATGACAAATGCAAAAAGGCATCAAAACACAGGCTGCCCTGTCCAGCTCCAGAGCCGGCGAGCGCCGGCGCTAAGGCAAGTGGAGGTTGCAGTTATGCTGGGGTAAGGCTTTTAAAAAAAAAATCATTATTATTATTATCATTATCATTATTATTATTATCGAAAAGAGTTGTTCTTCGTTGCTTATGGAACTCTGAGTGGTCATGGCAGCTCTCCAGGGCAGCCAGGATGTGCTGCTCCAGCCTCGCCGTGGTAGTGCAATCCCAGCGCTCTGTGCTGAGGGTGACCGGCTGCCAGCTGGGAGCTGGGGACAGGTGACAAGGCTGGGACGGTGGCACTGAGGCACAGGGGCCAGGAGGGCAGCTCTGGGGGTTCGATTTTCTTGTGTTTATGGGAGAAATGGGAAAAGAAAGGTGTGGTTACTGGTGGCACTGGGGCTGGGACTGTCCGGTGGCTGCGGGGAGGGCTCTGCAGGGCACTGGGTACTGCAGTTATGGATCCCCAGGAATCTGTCTGTGCCCTCCCAGCCCTGCACCCCGAAAAACCCTGAATCCAGCCCCAGTTCTCATGCCAGCAGAGGGCACAGGTGGCCTGCAGGAGGTGACAAACCCTGCGTTGTGCATCAGAGCCTTGGAGGAGCCCACAGCCGCCTCCCAGCATGGCCCTGGTTTGGTTGCAATCTCTGTGGTGTCAGCTGTGATGGTGCATGGCAGAGCTGGTTCCTGCAAATGCCACCTGATGCCACCACCACCAGTGGCACCTTAAGTGCCCCCTCTACAGCGAGATCCCTATGCTTGGGGTCACCTGGGGAAGGACAGGAAGGTGAGGGGATGGAAAAGGCTGCACAGCATCAATTCACAACATTCCCATCACGAGGAGTAGAAACTGCTCCTTTCTCCAGATCTCAGAGCTTTCAGGATGAACTGACACATGTGAGTCAAAATAAAAAATTGTGTTAATCCTCTCTGGGTGAGAACATGGGAAACATGAACAGAATTATGGTGATTTGCCACCAGCTGTGAGTGTTGCCACTCAGAGGGGACAGAAGGAACACCTGGAGAACGGTGGCAAGGCCATGCCAAAGGCTCCTGAGCCCCTTGGAAGTGCATCTCAAACATCTCAGATTGTCCTGAATGCCGCCTTCACTTCAGCCACCATCACTGAGGTTTGCTAAGGGGAGCAAAGAGCTGAACGGTGAGGTCAGGACAAGAGAGCAAACAAACAAAACAAAACATCTCCATAAAAAGTACATCTCGTGTGTAAACATGGAGGAGGGGTCAGCCAGGCCCGGGGTCAGCCACGTTACTGATTGACAAGCGACGACAGTGACACCAAAATGAACAATACAACTTGCGTCGTCAACAAATAATAACAATAATCACATCACAGCTCTTGTTCACGTGGCTGACTGAGCCCCAGTGCCCCTGGCTGTGCTGCAAACCCCCCTGCTCTTTGGTGCTCAGGGACCCTTCACCAGCGGGGAGGGAAGGACAGGAGACAATGGGGTTTTTTTCTTTTTTTCTCCTTTTTTTTTTTAAGTTAAGTTCGGTCCACTTGCACTGGCAGAGAGATGGCTCAGGTGACTCCCTGGTGTCTTCTCTTCTCTGAACCATCTTGCAGAGGCAGGGTGAGATTCTCCTCACTTCTGGATGCTTTGTGTGGGGAAGAGGTGCGAGTGAGATGAACGAGAAGTGTTCTGCAAGTACCAAACATCTGATTCCACACGTCCTTGGGGCTTTTTTTCCCTATGTACAATCCACATACCTAAAACATACGGAAGGAACCACATCAAGCAACACATTCAAGCCTCGTGGGTGTTCACCTCGAAATGCAACGAAGGTCTGGGTTGATCTTCGCTTGATGTTTGCATGCAGAGGATCCTTAACTTTGGGTTTGGAAGACTTTGGTTTAACTTTTCCCTTGGCATCACTTTGGTCGCTCCCAATAGGAGCCGCGGTGGCTGATTAAGTTAAAGACACGGGTGCCCAGCTGAGCTCCTCCTCAGTAGGGTCTCCAGACGGACTCATCCATCCTGCCCGTGGTGCTCATGGTGGTGGGGGAATTGCTGTGGCTGCCGTCGGCGTCCACGCCGTCGCTCTGCGCGCCCAGGCTGGGGTTCATCAGGTTGTTCCCCGCCGAGGCGCTCGTGCAGGACGAGAGCATGCGGGTGGGTGAGCGCTCGCCTCCCGCCACCATGGAGAACTGGTAGGAGCCCGAGGACGTCCCGTAGTACAAGTGGTAGGGAGAGGGGTTGGCCTGGAAGGGCCCGCTCTGGTTCTGCGTGGAGCTGGGGTACGGGGGCGGCAGGTAGGTGTGGTGGAAGCGGGTGGTGGTGGGCATGCTGGTCATGCTGATGCCGCCGATGCCCGTGGCCGAGGGTGTGGCCGTGTAGGGGAAGGCGGCGGACATGGCGCCGGGGTAATGCATCCGCGGGTCGGAGAAACGCGTCTCCGTCAGCGCCGGCAGCGTGGGGAAGGAGCGCTCGAACTGCCGCGGGTCCGAGAAGGGGCTCAGCTCTGACGTGCCTGCCGGGTGCAGGAGGAGAGGGGGTGGTTAGAGCATTCCCGAGGAATCCGAAGGGAAAGCACCTCTTGAGTCTGCCAGGGAAAAGAGCTGGGGGACTTAAATAAAAACCCTAAACCCGTTTGTTTAAGTTGCTCCCATTTCCTGTCCTAAAATTTGTTGTTTCCTATCCAAGAAGGGACACGGCTAAGCTGACTTCTCTTAGGGGTCTATTCATCTCGGGCAGATTAAAGCAGCACACCCCATAAACACAGAAAAAAGATGTTTAGCCATGACATCAGCTGTGTAGTAAATAAATGGAGGCAGGCCCCAGACGGCCGGGCCCTGGGATCATCCATCCCTGCTGTATACACACACACACACACACACACACACACGGAGACAGGCAGGAAAAGCTGGAGCCCAGACCAGCCTGCTAAGCCTTCTTGTGGGTGGCCTGTTTGTGCTGATACCATCAGGGGATGGAGCTGATAAACACACAGCTGAAAACTCCCAAGCCAGGAGCCACTATATCCCTCTGCTTGAGTTCTCTGTGTATTTTTCTCCTTCCAAGAGGATAAGGAGAGTGAGAAATTCAGGCTCTCTGCTGGGGGAAGGGAGACTCGGGCCAGCGTGGTGGGAATGTTCCCCAGCTCCATGGGATGATGGAGCCCCCCACGCCTTTTCCTGGAGGTCTAAACCCAAAGGGGGTCGCAGCCAGCTTGGAACTGGAAAGGGATCTTGGCTTCGGATCCCATCCTCCTGCAGGAAGCCCAGGTTAGGGGTGGGAATCCACAGCAGAAGCTCCTTTGAGGAGCTGGAGCCATTCCTGTGGCTCTCTCAGCTGTCCCAAGGCTGAGACAGAGCCCAGGAACCTCTGGCCTTGGTGCATTAAAGCAGAGAGAAATGAGGTTTGCTCTCCAAGGAAAGTGTCCTTCAGACCTCCTCTATTTTCCTCTTGTTAAAAGCAGGGCCTTTTTCCTTTGCTAGTGGGACACCATTCAGCCTCAAAAGTGACTTTTTTTGGTCACATCAGCTGGATTTTGTATCCCTCAGAGCAAGAGAACGTGAGGTGAGTATGCTAAACACGCCTGTTGGTTTTGGAAATGCATATACATACAAACACACATCCAGAGGATTGTGTGGCTGCTCTGCATGCACAGGGCCGCGTGTTTTAGATCTATTTATTACAATGAAGCATTTTTAACTTCTCAGGGCAGGCGTTCCAGGCCCCAAAGCATTTCCCCAGGAGAAAACCCTTGATTTAATCCCTTCCAGCTACCGAGTGACACGGGCACGCTCTGGAGGAGCAGGTATGGAGGGGATTTGATGTGAACCTCCCTTCTGATCCCAGGTGAGTCCTTCAGCAGTGGAAGGAGAAGGGGAGGATCCTCCCTCCCTCCCCTGCAGCCCTTTTGCGGGCGCCCAGCAGCGCCTGCCTTCCCACGCAGGCTCCACGGAGGGGAAAGGCGGGGGAGCACCTGGTTTGTGAACGTGGCTGCGGCTTTGGGGCGAGATAAGAGAGGCGCAGCTCAAAGCTGTCCCGAACCACACTGCTCTGCACACACCCGGCGTTGGAAAGCGCCCGTGGAAGTGGCTGCCCGGCCACAGGGCCGGCCCTGCTCCGTGCTGGGCTGGCTGGAAAAGCACAGCGGTGGGGAAAGCGCTCCCAGCCCGATTTCACAGCCCAGCAGGGACCCATCCCAAAGCCGTGCTACAGCCGCCGCTGCTGCCAGGCACCGAGGTTTGAGGGAGCTGAGGTTTGGAGACCAGCTCTGCAAGAAGCGGCCTGACCACAGCCCCGTGGCAATAGCAAGCCAGCAGCATCACGGCTTGAGACAGGACCATGGGGCAGAAATCCTGCCTGCGCCTGGACTGGAAAGAAAAAGTGCTGTCTTCTGAATGCCTCCCCTTCAATTCAGCAGCTCTGCACTGAGAAAAAGCAGCCTCTAAATCCCCCTCAGCCCCTTAAACACCAGATTGCCGCTCGCTGCCTTCCCAGATGACAATCACTCAGACTGCGCTCCTTCATTACTTTTCACAGCTCCATGTATAATATTCCATAAAATGCAAATCTAAATCAAACCTGAGCGCTCAGGGCACATTTCCTTTTTCCTCTATAACTCGCTCAAAGAGGGGTTTTTTTAGAGGCTACATTTTATTGGCCTGAACGTGCACCGTTTGGCAGTGGCTCCCTGCTACTAATTTGGACAGGAGCATGTAAAAGTGTTAATTACAGGCTTTGTGTGTGACGGGCAAGGCACAGCGAGGCTGTGGGCTCTGGGGACACTCAGGGACACGGGTGGGCAGAGAGCGAGCTCTGCCAGGCTCTGAACCCCTGGCTCTGCAGGGCTGGGATCTGCAAATCCGATCCTTCAAAACGCAAATCCCTCAGTGCGAACCCCTCGAACGGAATCCACACCCAGCAGAGCCATGAGGCATCCGAGTGGTTGTGACCAGCTCGCTTCCACCCCCGCCGGCCTTGGGCTCTAAGTCTGGCCCACAATAAAGCTCCAGCTTTCCCTGGCTGGTCTGAGACCACAAAAAAAAAAAAAAAAAAAAAAAAAAAAAAAAAAAAAAAAAAAAAAAAAAAAAAAAAAAACCAAACCAAATTACCCTAAAAACAAAACCGCGGCGGCCCCGGCCCCCTCAGGCCGCCTCTGAGGGGACCGCGGCCCCGCCGCCAGCAGGGGGCGCCCGCCGGGCCGCGGGAGGCGGGAAGGAGGCGGGAAGGAGGCGGCCGCCAGAGGGGGCCGGGGCCTCGCCGTCGCCTCAGGGCTGGCGCCTCGGGGCTGCCGCTGTGTCCTGTGTCCTTCACCTCAGGACTGCTCCTCATCCCATGTCCTTCACCTCGGGGCTGGCCCTCTGTCCTGTCTCCTTCACCTCAGGGTTGCCCTCTATCCCGTCTCCTTCACGTCAGGGCAGCCCCTCTGTCCTGTGTCCTTCACCTCAGGGCTGCCCCTCTGTCCCATCTCCTTCACCTCAGGGTTTCCCCTCCATCTTGGTCCTCACCTCAGGGCTGCCCCTCTGTCCTGTCTCCTTCACCTCAGGGCTGCTCCTCTGTCCCATCTCCTTCACGTCAGGGTTTCCCCTCCGTCTTGGTCCTCGCCTCAGGGCTGCCCCTCTGTCCCATCTCCTTCGCTTCACAACTGTCTCTCCAGTTCAGCACCCTCACCTCAGCACCCTCTCCATCCTGGCTCCATCACCCCAGGGTTTCCTCTCCATCCCATCTCCTTCGCCTCAGGGTTTCCCCTCCATCTTGGTGCTCGCCTTAGGGCTGTTCCTCCATCACATCTTCACCTCACAACCCTCCCTCCACCTCAGCGCTGTCACCTCACAACTGCCCCTTCCATCTTGGTCCTCGCCTCAAGGTTTCTTCTCCATCCCATCTCCTTTGCTTCAGGGCTGCCCCTCCATCCTGGCTGCCTCAGATCAGAGCCGCACAGCCCCAGCGCCTGCCCAGCACGCGAGGAAATCTCCACTGAAACAACCCCAGTGAGATCCAATTAAAACACGGCCATTAACACCCTCCATAACCACCTAACTCAGCAGCAAGGACCCTCTGCCGCAGCCAGGATCAAACAGCGACCTGGAGCAAGCAGCTGCTGAGCAAAGCCAGGGAACAAGGAGTGGTGAAGCTGCACCCTCGGACCCTGCGTTCCCTTTGGAATCACAGCTCAAAATGGGCTTAAAAAACCCTTTCTTGTTGTCCCCTAGCACATCTCACACACATCTGCTCCATAGTGCTGCCTCCGACGATTTACTACGGTTTTCCCTCGCTTACTCGCCGTCCAGCCCCCATTTGCTTTTTTGGACCCTGGCAATCCGAGCTTGAGTACTTCAGTTGTCCAGTTGCCAATCAAAATATTTGAAGGAAATGTTTATTTTCTTCTCGAAATCACACCAGCTGCTGCACTAACTGAATAAGCCCATTTAGCTGTAAGAATTTAACCATTGTAAGAGTGAATTGAGTCCCCCAACTACTCCAAAATCTGACCCAATCTATCAGCGGAAATGTCAATGTTTTGGATGGGAGTTTGGGGAAGTGTGGAATGTGTATTAAATAAAAGCCATGTAAAGGTCAAAGCCCTGATTAGTAATGCCACTGTCTCCTCCTTAGGGCTGAGCTGCCCCAGGGACCGCAGAGGCCGGGACACACCCCATGATTTAATTGTGCAGCTGCAATTTGCACCTTTTGAGGACCCCCAAGTCCCCCCTGCATGAGGGGCCGGATAGAAACATGCTTTGAAAGCTGCTCAGCCCCTTTCCAGATAAAACAACAGCGCTGCAGTGGCACAGCAGCTCACTCTCCACCTCAGAGACAATACAGGTCTTTCCTTGGGTGGGTGGCCAGGAGATAAATGCAAAGAGATGCCCCTGATGGGAGCCAAACCTCAGCTGGGTTATGGTGGTGAGGGCTGGCCATGAGGTGGGAAGGGCTGGTTTGTGAGGCTGCCAACCACAGAGGTTTCTCTGGGTGTGTTCAGCCTCCTCCCTTCAGACCACGTTGGGTTTGGGAGCTGCCTCGGATGGAGTGGAACTGGTCCCTGCACCCTGGCGGGGTCAGGGCTGGTGGATCTGCTCTGAGGTCCCTGGAAGCCTTTGAGGAGATGAGGCAATGAACCCTGCAGATGGTTTTAGGGATTGGTGTGCATCCATCCCAGAGGAGCAGTGGGTGCTGCCACTACCTCCTAACCCAGGAACACATCTGCTCTGCCAGGAGGGAAGAAAGGGCAGCGAAGCAACATCAGGACCTCTTCAGTGCTGCAATGGTACCCAGACAACCAGCTCACCCCGGGCACGTGGCAGAGCACAGCACCGGGGCCTGATGTACAGCAGCATCACCATTATCAGATTATCTGGGGCCAGGCAGCGACGTGTGGAACCTGAGCAGCTCCTCAGCACCCCAGATGCCACTTGGTCCCCACCTTAGAGATGTGGGGAGCACGTGGTGGCTGATGAACCCAGTCAGCAATAAACCTGAGCTTGTGTGGATGTTACACAACAAATACTCACAGTGTGT